CTGCTGAGCTCCATGATAGAGCATTAGTGGAATCTGAAAAAAGAGGTTTACAAGTCAGGTGAACTAAGCTCATTTAAACCTAAACAGAAGATAGTAGATACTTAGCTCTGTCACAAGAAGGCTGTAAGTGCATAGCAAGTCATGGCACAGTGTGTAGTAACCACATAAACAACTACAATTAAACTAATGCTCTCCATAGAGAAAGTTTCAAGGCAAATAATTAGAACAAGAATTAAATAATTTGTTCTTTTAACCTTAGAAAGAAAAAGAAAAATCTTCATTTCTTTTACCTCTGGAGTAAACCTCTTGAATTCAGACATCCAATTTGGAAGAGTAGACAAAGGACCACATACTAAGAATGGACCGGGGACTCCTCGCTCCACCATCAGTGCTATTGTTGCAATACACTGGATTGTCTTCCCCAACCCCATTTCATCAGCTAAAATGCCATTGATACCATTTTCCCAAAGCATCTGCATGCACAGAAAAAGAAATTTAAATGCAAAATAGCCAACACAACTTAAGAACAATAGACATCTTTAGGAATGTAACACCTGTAGAAGCTCTCTACTAGGCACATTTTGTATCAGACGAATAACGTTTCTCCATGATGAAAATCAATACAACCATCCCGTAAACCCCAAACATTCATACATAGGTGTACATGCTTCTAGTTAATAAAGTGCCTGACCAGAAGGCAAAAACCAGAACAGTATCGAAGGAAAGGATGTAAATTAGTGTTATATCAAAAAGCACTTCAACTGCAAGTACAGCTCACACTACCCAAATTTTTACTCATCCCAGCTCTAAAGAATTCCCTTAGCCCCCCTTCTAAAAGACCAAGTTGTTGTGCTGATGTTTCAGTTTTATCTGTTCAAGTAGCTTCCATAGGCACAGCTAATTCACCATAGGAAAAAGGTGCAATTCCTGACCAACAGTCAGCTGGTCCAGCAGAAGTTCTTTGCGCAGACACTGCCTGTTCTGGCAAGTGACAGAGCGACCTCTCACAAAAGAATAGAAAGACAGACACAAAAGTGTTCTTTGGCTACTCCGTCTACTATTCAGAAAGATTCATAAAGAAGGTTATGACAACTGAGGGCTCAAGGAAGCTGTTCTTCCCCTCCCAGAGCAGGCCTGTCTTCCCTACGCACTTCCCAGTGACAGAACAAAGTGAGTGAGTTTAGTGGCACCCACTTGTGAGACCAGCCTAAGCCTGTTAAAACAAGATATATAGGCTTGTAGGGAAGAAAAAAAGAAAAAAAAACTAAAGGAAATATGAGATCAGTAGCAGAATGAAAATTGGTTCTGTCTGGCTCTCATAATTAAAAAGCAAAGTTGTTCTAATTTGGCTTGCAAGCAAAAATGGGTACAAGTTAAATATGTAAGCAGGCAATTCTTATGGCAAGTTTCTTTAGTTTTTTATTTCAAAGGCTAAAGGCAAAACATTTTTAAAACGCTATGTTAATATTACTAGTTAGATTCCAAGATGCAGAGAATGGAAAACATCTGTCAGGCCTGCAAGGTAGTGGGTCTTTAAAGGCCTATGGGGTAGGTATTCAAGCCCTTGAGAGAGAAAAATAGTAAGACTGTCCCTTAGTAGTATGCTTAGTCCTTCTGTTTTGAGTTGAACAAGAAAACAGATGGAAAAATGGAAGATGGAGAACACCAACCAGAAAGTCTAAAGAAACATTTACAAATATCCTCCCCACGCTGAAACGTTCTATCTGCTGCTTGACAACTTATGATAACATCAGATTCTTGTATCATGAGAAATCATAAAGAACTGTCTCTCTCTTCTTCACCTTCCCTGCACCAACTATGATGACAGACTTCTACTGTCTTGTCCCCTCCATTTCTCTGTTTCCCGTGAGCAACATACTGAATTTCAACAATCGCTCCATACCCTTAGCCACTCCATGCCTTCCACTTGGTACCACCTCATCACACCTCCAGTAAAAATCTTTGGCTGCTGAAAAGGCACTGGTTGTCCATTAAATTTCCGTACTGGATCAAGGAATTGCTTGGCACTGTGTCGTACAGCTTGACACAACCTATCCTTAATGACGCTATTTGAGTCTCCATTTTTCTGCAGGTCTTCTGGACACAGGTTGTCAGAAGAGCTTTCATCCTACAGAGGGAAGTTCAAGGAATGCACATCAAAGCCCAGCTAAGACATACTTTTGCCCAGTTTACACCAGTCTTAATGTGCAGTGAAGTAAGCTACCTCCTGACAAATACTTATTTTGAGTAACTGTCAACTCAAGAGTATAATTCATTTTTATGATTAATATTACTACGTAGGTACAGGTCAACATGCAAAATTTCAATGCCTTATATGCATTCTTTACTTTAGAACTGAAGAGCAGTGATAGCTACTGAAGTGATTGGGCTTGTAATTTTCTACCCATAAAAGCATGCAGACTTAAAATCTTCCTCACAGCAGCTGGCATTTAATGCAGCTATCTCCCTTCTGTAAGTGGATTCTAGAAAACATAAAGAAATTCATACTGTGCGTGTAGCTTTTAAACTACAACAGAAGCGGAAGAGACCACACCTGTTATCTCCATGCTTGAATGCTTAAAAATGACTATGCCTTAAGGTCTTATACACCAGCACAAATACTTCTTAGTAGATTCCCATTTCCTTTATTTTTGAAACTACAGGCATTCTATAAAGTATAAATACATTCAAATTCCATGTTAAAAAAAAAATCAATTAGAAGTTTTCATCTCAGATTTCTGAAAATAAGTATTTATATGCATTCACTTGCACAACTTTTTTAATCTTCTAATTCAGGACTTTAATATCTAGCAGAGAGATGTTTAAAGATATGCTATAAAGTATAAAAAGCCCTCCCTCCCTTTGGGCTTAACACACTTAAACTGCAATAACATGTGCCAACGTACCTGATTTTCCACTTTACTTTTTTTTGCCACCGATAATATTTCCTGGAAACAAAGAAAAAACTATGCTTATACACTTCTCAAACTTAAAGGCTACTACAATTTGTATTTCATGAGATCTTTTAATTGAAGAATCTGGACATACTTTAAAAAGCTTTCCATACAACATCATTAATCATACAAGTGACTCTAAACAAGGCCACACACCAGAGAATGCATTCTAATTACAAAGGGTAACTGAAAATTCAACTGGCAATGTAGTCTCATCACAGCTGGCCTCCCCAAAGACTTAAAAAAAAAAAAAAAGACATCTGAATTCTACAGGTCTGACAACACTGCTTGTTACATAGATCTTTGTTGGATGAGTCATATGTTACAGACAGACTACTGTTGGCCGTTGGTTGGTAATCTCTGATGGCAATGTAGAGAATGCATTGCTCTAAAATGCAGATGTCATACAGCGATTGCCTCACCAGTTAAAATTTGTGCGACAAAAATCCAGACAAGCCTATTTATAGTTATGGCCTACCTCTTTAGACATAATTTCTGAGATGTTGTATGTCCCATCTTCTCTCGCTCTCTTCTTTTTTGCACCTATAAGATAACATTTGAGTTTATACAACACATCAAACATTAAAAAAAACTAAACACACCAGTACTGACAAAAGGCAAAGCCTAATACATTACCTGATTTCTCCTCTTTGCCATCAACTGGATTTTGACCCTAGAAAATAAACATAGGAAGAAGTTCATCATCTTATGCATCTCTAACTATCATGACACAGATAAAAAGACATAATCAGCCTCAAACCATTGCCTTTGAAAGCTTCTTGAAACACTTTTACTATTAAGCAGTTTCTAAAAATACAGCAAAAAAAAGTTCCTGCTTATCTTTTTTTATTACTTATTCAGCATCTTGGCTGAATAAACAATCATTGCTAAAACTAAAAACTTCCTCAAGACAAATTCAAACCATTTTCTTTAGTATAAATTAGTCAGAAACATCTCCTTAAAATGACTGTCATGGTATGCAATTTTTAAGCACTTTTAAACAGTCTTATTATGGTTAAAAAATCAATATGGTATACTAGATAGATCTTGCAAGTCAAATACTGGCTAATCTAACTGACAATGTTAGTAGTTTACCTACCTTGATCAAAATTTACATCGTAATTTGTCAGACCTTTATTCAGAAAGTTGCATAAAATAGCTAGTTAATCTTACCTTGGCAGATTTTAACATCATCTCTCTCTTTTTTTCTAACTTCTCCTTCCTCCTCTGTTCCTAAAAAAAACCCCAAACCACACACACATTTCTTATCTTTCAATAACATCCAGAAGAGAACTATCCGTTACAGAAGTGATAACAAGCACAGATTACATTGGTAATGTAGAGTTCTGTGTACTCTACAGGCTTTGTTTTTGCAATCTCACTAAAAGCCTCTATTCTGACATAGTTGATAAATGCAATAATGGTAATAATGATAAAGCAAAACATGGACAAGAAAGTGCAACTGCTCTGAATTGCTTGTCAGTGAATACTTTTAAACACTTAAATACAGTAATTCAGAAAGACTCCAACATATTCCCAATCGCAAACTCCTTAAGATCACATCTATTGCAGTAAGTTTTCCATGTATGCAGCCCCCCTTTAACTTCTATGTATTACCACTTGTGTTCGTTGCAAAACAGAAAGCAATGTTAGTAGCCTACAATGCCTTTAAGGAAGAACTGCTTTCATGTCTTGAAGAATTTAAGATTTTCATTCCATCTACTATTTCTACTTGCTGAAAGCAAAAGGACCCTGGAAAAAAAAGACTTCAGTATTTATCAGATGGAGCAAGACTTAGTACTGAAACACACATTCTATCAATGCAGTAACCATGAATTCGAGCTGACAGTTAAACTAGAAAAGTATTTTAGAAGGAGGTTCCTGCAGTCTGACAGTGTCACTTTTCTGAGAACATTGTTGCCCTGAATCTTTTCCTAAGATTCTCCCTCTCCCTCAAGCATAAACTTTTACAAGATTGTCCATAACAGTACAGTTAAGGAAGTCAAGATAAAGCTAGATATGAACTCAGCAGCCCATGGATTAAAAAAAAGAAAATACATCAAATCATTTTATGGCAGCTCTTGTTTGGGAACACCATGGCCTCAAATCACTGTAATTTAGAAGTCTGTTTGAGAGAGGCCTGCATTAGCATCCTGAAGACACACCTCATCCTCAGCCTTCAGTAATTAACATAAATAGGGTGCACAACTTCCTACTTGTCAATTCTTTGCATCTTCTATCCTCCCCCCAGGTTTTTTAGCTCCCTTAAACTTTGTTTCTTATTTAAAATATTTATTTTCTTTTCCTAGCACTCAGGACAACAGAAGAATTCTAAAGATATCAGTGCACCTTTACACTGTGATTTCAAATTATGATTCATGCTCTTTCCAGTCTGATTTATCTATTAATTTGTTGAACAAATTCTGAAAACTATGTAAAACACCACTTCATTCCTGGGCAGTAGTTCCAGTAGATTTTCATGTTATTACTGCAATCTTAACAGCATTTTTACTTCAGTTCAAACAGCTGGATGGCAAAAAAAAAACCCAAACAGATGGCAGCCCATCTTGAGAATCCCCACTTTAGACAATACACCTACCTCCAGTTGCTGCTGTTCCATTTTGGTTAGCAAGAATTTGGAATAGATGTTGCTTTTTTCAAGCAAATGTTGAAGCCTCTTATAGCGCATTTCACTTGACTCCCTGTCCCAAGAAGTGCGAGCCTGGCCAACACAAAGAGATATCAAGTATTTATAGATGCTTCAGTTAATGCTTTTAATATAATGAAGGGTTACAGGATAACTACAATTGTCTCACACACACAAAACCTTTCCCTTGTAGTCATTATACATTACAATTCGCAAGTGTACGGACTCACACGTACCTATGAAGTGCTGTAAGATCAAAGTAACTGAGGGTTGCATTCACTTGCATATGTAAACAGAGCTCTGCAACACACATGCTTCCAGTGCAGTAGCACAAGGCATTCAGGGCTCAAAGGTGTCCCAACTCCTATTTATAGATTTAGAGCAAAGTTAAACTTAAGTTTATTTGCAGCCTGCAAAATTTGGGAGGAAAAAACCAACCCTACCTGGCAAAATTCAGCAGTTTCCCAAGGATTAGTTAGGACTCCTCCACATGCCATTTGCACAAAGGTACAGTTTTTCATTATGAACAAGATAGTCAGACAGCTAAAAAACCATCATGCCTAATTTACAGAGGTCAAGTCAATTCCCAGTGTGAAAACAGTAACTTCTGCTTGCTTTGCTTACAAAATCCACACATGCTTTTAAAAGTAACTTCTGTTGAATTAGTCAAGGCTGTGCATTTAGAAGTTTGCAAATTACTCTTTAAAACTCAGATCAAGACTCCTCAAAAAGTAAAAAAGCATTCACCCCTCTGCATTCATCTAACACTGCCTGTTAGATTGAGATACCAAACAAGTAAAAAGGTAAAATTAGCATCTCCAAGAGAAACCCCAGAAAGCCAAGATGCAGAGCTTTACAAGATGCTTATCTATGCAATTGCCTCCAGAAGAAACACTGGGGGAAGGGCACGCTGAGACAGAAAAGCAAGGCAATCTTCTGAAACTAAACAGATGAACAGGCAGGGAAAAAGGATATTAGCTGAATCCTGGGACAAACTGCGTGACACAGAAACAGGGAAGCATGTTTCTCTCTCCCAAAACTCACAGCTTTATTTTCCAAACAGTCTATCACCGTATTCTTTGAGAGGAAGATCGACCTCGACAAGTACTTTGGGGAAAGAAGTTGCCTTCTTATGATTCTCAGTTTTCATTCGCTTCTGCTCTCCTCAATCCAGGTTTTTTCATTCAGATGAAAAGTACCTGAGCTCAGAAAGATCAACCCTTGATGGCAATGCCAAGAGAGAATATAATTAAAACTAAACTACTTCATTAGCAAATTGCTATTGCTCACTTTTTATTGGAGCGAACATAGCATCCTTCCATTAACTGGTCAATCTGAAGAACTCTTGCCTTGACCAACTGCGAAAATTTCAAGGAAAAAAAAACCTCAAAGGTGATGAACAGCATTGAACTCATGATTTCTCCACTGTCCTTTGACTCAATCTTCAAGCCTAACAACGGGGGAGGGGGGGGGCAGGGGGGGTGTCCCTTTTTTACTGAAAAGGTGAAAAAATTGCCATTCTTTCATCACTCTACATTCTTATATATTTGTATAGTGGTATTTTGCCATCAGCCCACAGAAAGAACAAGTGACTCTTGTTGAACTGCTGTACAAATCACCTGGCAGGGGGTTTGCTGAAGTGACAAGCATAAAAACCCCAGAAGCTTCAAGAACATCAACTGCCCCCAAGATGTCGGTAAGCCTGGGTTTAACAACACAAATAATTTCCCTTGGTCTGACTGGCCCCAGATTGCACAGAGAAAGCATGACAGAAGCACACATGACAATGGAGGGATACCCTTGTTAGAGGTAAGCTCTGTGGATTCTCAAGAAATGGAGAGAACACAGAAAAAACGCAGCCCTATCACATTATAGAATTGTTACAGAAGTGGTTGGTTGTGAAAGGAATTAAATTCTAAGTCCTTTTCTCAATACTTCCTGTGCAATGAGATAATTTGCTCTACAGGGGTTTCCTCTGTACTCTCCAAAAGCATTGCCTCCAAATTTTTAGTTCCAAGTCTGATCAAAGAACACCTGAAGAGTTCAGACAGGCTCTGTCATGACTTATTGTTTGCAAGAAAGAAGATTATGAGACTTCTGGGAGAATAAAGTATTATTTTCTAACTACAGTATCACAAAATGCTGCAGCCTAAAAACATACCTTTATAAATCACAACTTTCCTTAGTGAAAAGAGTAACTAAAATTAGTTCCAGGCCTTAGAAATTGTATTTTTATGCCCTTAGAATAATGCTTCAATTTTTAAGGCATCAGTCTCATGTGGGCTGAATACCAAGCTGCGCAATTAACAGAAAAGGGGAAAATGAGAGCACTTTGAAAGACGGAAAAACCCAAACATTGATTTCTCAAGTATTTTGAGTAATAGCATTAGTTCTTTAGAATACAATTCCCAAAAAAGCATTTAAGAGAAGAGTTCTTTAAAACTTATATTTCCTTATCCTGAAATACAATACCTTATATAGCATTCTGATACCTTAATAATTTATATCAGCATAGGTTTTCAACATCATGTTTTCTCTCCAAAACAGATTGCTTAATATCAACATTTGAAAGCATTCACAGTAAGAGAGAAGTGAAATGTAGTAGTGATTATGTCATTTGTGTTGGGGATGTATCATTTCCTTGAAGCATTCTACATTTCCTGCAACATAAGCTAACACAAGTACATAAACCAAACATCAACTCTCAAGATGATTACATGTACATTTCTCCTGGCAGCAATGCCAGCTCAAGCAGCTCCTGCTCCCCACAACTTAGGGGTGCCTGCACAACTGCGTGCAGGGAAGTGCAGGAGAGCAGACCAGCAAAGCGACTGGCATAAACTCGATCCTTTTTGGCTAGGCTTTTAAAGTTAGGCTGCTTCCTTGATGCAGTTCAGTGGCGGGCTTCAAACACCACTGCAAAGAGAATGAGCTGCCAGTGACAGCAGCTGGCTAAACTATACCTGCTACCAAAAGAAACGCATAACCGGGCTTATTTCTGGAAAGGATA